TGAAAACAGCTTTGCCAGAAGCCCAAAGCTTCAACATTAATGTGCAAAGGCAATTCCGGCCCTCAAGGGAAAGCAAGTCTTAAGACGATGCTAAGGCCTCCAAAGTCCTCTCCACGACCATCAACCAAACTCCCGCAGGTCTGCAGCTGAAGGCAGCTACATGTGTGCTTTTAAAGCAACCCCCTCCTACCTTCGGGTGCTACAATGTCCCTCTGCTCCCTCCCATCTCAGGGTAAGAGCAGCCGCTGCGGAACCTTGCAGGGCAGCACTGACAGGACTGGACAAAGGGGATCAGAGCTAAACTAAGCCTTCTGATGACACGAGATTGTCACACTGTCACTTTACAGATGAAGATATATATAGAGAGATGTGGGGTGATATTGCTCAAAGTCACACAGCTAATAAGTGGCAAAGTCTATAACTCTAATCCTCCCTCGGGCGGGACGCACCAGCTGGGACGCCCACAGGGTTCTCTCGTGCCTGCCTGACCAGTCCTTTCCTGTCACTCATGACCCACCACACGGTCTGATCTTAGCCTGCCTTGTCAGCATCTTTCCCCTCCAGTTTCTAAGGAACAAGGCTGCTCCGGCCACTGTATGGCTTCCGGCTCCCCAAACCCTCCGTGCTCACGCTGGTCTTGCCTGTGCATCCAGCCCCCAGCTCAGAGGCTCTTCCTCCCCTGCAGGAGAACGTTTCCACTCTCCCCAGGGACACCCCCTTATGGGAGCCCTCTTCTTGCCCTCAGCACGGCAGGTGTCCCAGGCCACATCCCGAGCTGCCCCATTAGGACTGTGGGTGCCCAGGTCTGCTAGTCAGACCAGCAGCCTCAGAGGCAGGGATTATTCCCAGGTCACCCTGCAAACCTACTGCCCGCCTCACAGCCCCCAGCCAGCAGGTCACCTGGAAGTCACAGCAGGCGCCTCACCCAATCCAGAAGTCTCTTCATTTGCCAGCAACGCTAATGACTGGTTTCCAACCTTTGGTCAGTTTTGCACAAAACAGCCGCTTCCACTGTGAAGTGGAGGGTTTTCGCTTCTGCTCCCCATCCTTACTGGAAACATCAAGGGAAACCAAAAGGCCTTTTCTGAACCCTTTTCTGATGACAACTTACCACCCACAATACTCACATGCTCAAGAACTTTGGGTCCACGTGATTTTGTTTCCCTTACACTTAGTGGCTCAAAACACTGCGAGATTCTTTCTCTTTTGAGGGTATTTGTGCTCAGTTTATCGGCTTTCATCTTTTTTTGTCTCTGTCTCCATTATCCCTAGCAGTTGACACTTCTTACTCCCTTCAGCAGCCTCCCTCCCATCATTTAGCCTAGGAAATCAGCTGTGATGAGGGGCCCAGGAGCAGTCACAGAAGATGTAACTAAGGCACAGAGAGGCTACATAATTTGCTGAAGAAGATCAGCTTCCACCCCCAACAGTGTGTGCCATGTAACTCTGTTTAACGCTTATGCTAAGCATGTTAACTTTTTGTAGATTATGGTTATAAACAGATGAGGTATCAAAATACATACAATGACACTCATCAACTCTAAAATTTTCATTAACTTCACTATTTTGTTTCTATTTATTTTATTTCTATTAAAAAAATTAAGAACCTCTGCACTCAATATAGCAAATGTTACTGGGTTTTAAGTCCAGAATATACAGGTGTTAAGTGTGTCATTACTCATACTTATTTGTATGTTCACAAGACAAAATGATTTGAAAGTCGCCCTCCCCTCCACCTACTCACTAATGACTCTCACCTGAGCTCCCAGACCACACATCTATAACAGCCTTTCACTTTACCCACAACTGAACTCATCAGTTTTCCCCCAGAAATCCCTCTGCAGCTTTCCCTCCTCAGAGCGCAGCAGGACCATCACTTACCTGATTAATCCACCCAGAAACTTGGGCCTTACTCCATCCCTCCTTCACAGACAGCATTCATCCTTGCCTTTTTACCATCTAAACATGCCTTCAGTCTGTTCACTTTTACCCACTGACCATCCCACCGCTCAAGTGGAAGCCACCAACGCTGCCCACCTGGACACACGAGTCTCCCAAGTGGCCCCACAGCTGCTCTCCCCTACTTGAGACAAATGGGATTGTGTCATTCCCGCGCTTTTACGGCTCTTTCCAAACCCACTGTTCTTAGAAGAAACTCCAAGTTCTTCACTTGGTGAAGGTTTTGCCATGAATCTGTCAGCTCAGGGAGGGCAGGACCTGCCCTCTCCACTCGGCCCTGCCCTCTGGCAGAGCATCAGCTCGGCAGGACCTGCTGAGTTACACCAGCCTGTATTCTAACCCTGGTCTTGAGTTCTTAGCAAACTGCTTCACTTATCCTTACAAATTCAAGGTAGATTAGACAGATTTTAGATGTTGAGCTAGAGTATTGATTTGGGGATTTTGCACTAGCAACCTGCATGTACATGTTCTAATGATTCTGTCTTCTAAAAACCACACCCAGATTTAAGTAGTATTTGTGGGATGTCTTTAGAGTAAAAGGGACTGTACTTCTACAGACTTTATGTTTTATAACGTGAACAATCCGGACAGGGTGACAAATGGAACTGCCTCACAAGTGACAGAAGACAGGTGAGAGGCATACAGCAACAGGTCACAAGGATGGTAAGAGCAAAGTTGGTTCTCCAACCCCTGAAAAAATTCCTGAAATATCCGAAAACTCTGAATTTTGAAAGTAAAATACTATCATATAAAGAAATAAAATAAATAATCCTTTTCATCAGGGTTTCAAGATCTGACTCCAGAGTTTTTAGCAGGCCATACTGAATCCTAGCACAGAAAAATCAGATGGACTAGTGGTGAGTAATTCCAGGAAAACTGCAAAACTCTTTCACTTCTAAAAGGACATACACTCACCTGTCAAAAGTGAATGTAAAGCGCATTCTGGAGAAATTTGGAAGCTTCGACTCCGCTTCTGGATGGCAAGGACACGGACAGCTTTGAAGCATGCTTCTAACTGAGTCACCTGCATTCTTACACTGCAGGGGGAAACGGAGGCCCTCAGTCAAGAGCAGAGATGTTCCTGTCGTGTCTCCCAGGCCGTATCTTGGGGACTCAGTGCCCTGCAGCAGCCTGGTCCCAGGCGAGGACCCGCAAAGTGGCCCACAATCAGGAGGGTCACTGTTCTCGAGAAAGCCCATCCCCGATGGGGGCAAGAGGGACTGGTGGGGTTGTGTGCACCTATAAATGCTCACAGAAATACACCTGCATTCATTCAAGTGATACAATTAAAAGTAGCAGGCTATTTAACAAAATTTCAAATGTCAGTGGAAATTTTACCATTCCTTTCCACTTGTCCCCTGCACTCTGAGACAGGCTTAGGCTCTCTCACACCCTCATCTCTGATGCAACAGTTGTGAAGTTATTTTACTTTGCTGCAAGTGTCCTCACTCCCTGTGTCGCTGTAACTGTCGTCTCTTAACACACTCAGTTGTCTTCCTGGATCTCTTCCTGAGTTCCTTGCTCCTGTTCCTCAGATCCTAAGATAAAGGACAAGTGAAGACACATGACCAGAAAAGGCACTGTGGACCAGACCAAAGTCCTCAGTGACCCCCTAGGTGAGTGCTTCCCACCCCTTACCATCGATTCTCAAGGTTCTGCCCAGAATGACATCCAGACAGGAGAGAGTCCTGGGCCAATTAAAGGCTGTGTGTCTTGGGCACGGGGACAGGTGCAGGAGCTGGTTCTGTAGCCGGGCCCCTCCCCACCTCTGCTCCCCTCTCTCCCGAGGCCCCGCTGCCAAGTCCCAGGCTCCCTGAACTTCTGTCCTTCTCTTCTACTCTACTCCAAGCCCTTTTCCTCTTCCTTTATTCCCTAATTATCCCCCCAGGTGGAGTGATTTTTCAATCACAGTATCTGAAAAAATTTCCTGCAGCTGAAAAAGAGGTCTCCAGAGGTAAATGCCCTTATGCTGGTTCCTGAAGAGAGCCCCTGGTTAGGGGGACCCTCACCAACACTTTCAGGACATCACACATGTTGCAGGGTCAACCACACCCAACAAGAATTTGCTGTGACCCCAAGGCCCGCACAGCATACCTGCTCACAAAAATGTAGTTTACACACTTATCCATTATTAAGAAGCAAAAAAAAAAAATTGCTCATGTTTCTTACTAAAATTATTAATGAGGTGGAAAAAGCAATTGTAATAGAAAAGAACAAATTTGACTCTATGTTAGATGTGTTCCTTTGGCTTTAAACCTGTGCCCTGTTTTCTAGGCTCAGACTTGCTAGCTCTGCACCTATTGTAAAAGAAAGTTGCCTTTAGCCTGAAATATCCAGGAGAGCCTATTCTCCGGGCTCTGATCTTTAAGGATGTTAGCTCTTCTGCACTTATGTAGAGTTGGCAAGTTGCAAAATAGAGAATAAACTTTGTTTTTCTTTTTTTTTTGGAGGTTTTACAGGTGCACCATGATTTGACCCACATGGACAGCTGCAAGAACAGAGGATTCCAAGGACAAACAATTCCTACATCAAGAAGTTTGCAACAACCAATCACACCCCCGGCCCTTTTTAGTATAAAAGGAGACTGAATTCTGTCTTGGGGAAGAGGGTTCACCAGGATATCAGTGTACCATCTTCTGGGTCTGCCAGCTTTGCAAATAAAGTCACTATTCCTTGCTCCAACACCTCATCTCCCGATTTATTGGCCTGTCATGCGGCGAGCAGAACGAGTTTGGACTCGGTAACAAAATGAGTGCATTGGAGGTAGTATGTCTCCACTGTTTCCTCGTTTCCAATATGTCACAACCTATCAATTTTATGTGCTGTTTAACAACACAACCAAAAAACCTATTAGATGGAATTGATTCCACGGAAATAAACATATTTCTACTCCTTCAAAACTATTTTTTCTTTTCTAATTTATTTTGTTTTGCTTATTGAAAAGAACATAAAAGTCAGATTTTTTTATTTCACGTATTCTTGTTACAGGAACATGTTTTAAATACTACAAGGAGATTTATGTTGCAATAAAAAATTGTTCACATAGTAGTAGAAAGATATATACACATTCAGTGCAGATTAGGAAAGAAATGGATATTTACTACAAATCCACTGCACATCCAGGCTTTTACAAGCATATTCTGGAATATAAGCTCTATGCTCCAGGGGCCACCCCCCCATTCTCACTGCCGAGTCCCTTAGAAATCAACTACCAAGTCACCAGCATAGAACCACCTGATCAGTATTTTAGGTATAAATGAGGGAATTAGCTCATTCAGTTCTAAAACAAAAACCTTAAAATACATACTGAACTTATTTACAGACAAAGAAAATTGTACACAAAAAAGTACAGTTTCTTCCCCAAGGTCACTAAGCTAATAACTGGTAAAGGCAAGATTTGAACTCATGTGCCTGAATCTAAAAACTAAGGTGGAAATCCCATTTGATTGCGGAGGGTCCAGCAGCACAGCCTATCACCCTATCTTTGTTCAGATCTAGCCTTAGACAGCCTGAGACAGCACCCCATTCCTGTGGAACCCGTGGGCAAACGATAACACTAAGGATTTTGTATCCAGGACTTTCTTAGTTCTCATTTATATAAAGTGTCAGCAGGTCAGCAGAACAACTCTGGAAAATATGAGTGGGTCCAGAGCTTTTTGCTGATTAGAAACTCAGTCTATCAGAACAGAGTGACCTTCCCATGAGAGGCCACATGGACATAAACTAAAGGCAGCTGAGCAATGAAAACTAGCAAGACCCTGGAACTCAAGCAAGAAGGATCCCTGCCATCCCCTCCCAGTTGCCTCTTCATCTGCGTGGACATAATGGAAGGAGACCCAGGTTCTTGTCCAAGTTACACTATCATGGATTCTCGCCCATAGAAACTTACGACTCTATGCTGTCTTAAGGCCTTTCCAACTCAAATATGATGACACAAATTTCTCAGCAGAATGTATGTTTCTACTTCCTCTCTTCTATTAGGAGAATATTTCTATGGCCACAAAGCAGAAATCCAACTAAAAACACCATGTACGAAACCAAGTGAAAATCTGCGTAAGAGGCTTTGCTCTCACGCTCAGTGAATGAAAATTCAGAAAAAGTGGTCCTTTTCCCTCAGCAAGTGGGAGGTAGCCTGATTGTGTGTGTGTGTGCGTGTGTGTGTGTGACTAAATCGAATACAATCAAATTTGGGATGTGTACATATTTTTTTTTATGTTACTGTCATTTCATGAGGATGAGACAACCTTTAAAGTAATTTGAATGTAGTGTTCTGAGAGAGTCTCAGGCTCTTTTGGTGGAGGAGGGAAAAGGGGAAAGTAAAGGAGGAAAGAGGGAAATGAAGCAAAGTAGTAAGGATACTGCTAGGTAAAGGCAAGACATTAATTTTGTTCCTACTTGCATCACACACAAATTAGGGTCTGGCTTACCCCCATGTCTTGTTAAGCACTGTGTTGCAGAAGAAGAGGCGGCAGCCCATGTATAACTGAGCTTGTGACTGTACGTGGCATCTTAGACACAAATCATTTACCCTGATCAAACACTCTAACAGCAGGCCGTAATTCTCCTATTTTGAGAGACAAGAAAACAGGAGTTCAAAGAGGGTATATAACTTGACAAAAGTCAGAGGACCAGTAAACAAGAGAGGATGAATTCAAACTCAGATCTGAATGCAGAGTCTGATCTTCCCACTCCCAGGACTGGAAAACCCTTAACACACCACCTCCCCAGCTCACCTGCAGTGTTCCTGGAACCAAGCATTTCCCATGGCATTGGTCTCCAGTTCTCACAGACACAGCACTTTGTGCAGTCAATGACCTAGATCGGACCTGCCACGCCCAGCAGGCTTCACCACAAAGGCAGGAAAGCTGGCTTTCAAGTGCATACAAAGCCATCCCTGGTCTTACCTTGGCTCTTCTGTGGCTTCTCCAGCTTAAAGGCACCAATGAAACAGCTCACAGTTTGTACATGAGCCACACTACCTCTCTCCATTTGTCTCCCCACCTATACTACTAGGCTATGACCATTTTGATAATTTTGGAAACAAATTTTTAAAAACAGAAAAGAAAGGATTCTGAAACAAGTACTTAATAATAACAATTTTAAATGACAAGTTACAAAGTGAGTATTTAAAAACTGAATCTGTCTTCCTAAGTGTCAGTTTAAACAGTTAAAAAATCTAATAGCAAAAAAATCTCACTTACAAAATTAACAAAAACATGAACAATAATCTGGAATAAACTCAAAAATAATGCCCATGATATACTTGGAGGAACTACAGGACTGTACTGAGGGGTAAAGTAAGATGTGTGAATGTAGAGACATCAACATATTGCAAGGAGGAAAGCAGTTTTGTAAAGATATAAGTTCTCCTAAAGATAATTCAAAACTTACTAATAAATCCCACAAAAACCCTTATCTGTTTTTTTAACTTGAACAAAGTATTTAAGAATTCTTCAGGAATAATAAAGTCATAATACTAGCCAAGAAAATTTGGGATGGAAGAAAAGAATCAAAAAAAATTGCACTGTCAGATATTAAATAAATTTTTATGATATGTAAGATATAGTACTGGAGTAAGAAATTAAAATTGACAGAAATAAACCATGAGTTCAAAAAGAGACTCTAGTGTAAGTAAGTATTTTGTACAGGTGGGATTTCTAATCAAAGAGCAACGTATGAATTCAATAATTGTCCTGGGACAATCAGAGAATCACCTGGAAAGAACAAATTCTATTCCTGTCACAATGACCACAAGAAAAATTACAAATAGTGATGTAAATATTAAAAAGTAGTAATAACAGCAGATACAACTCTTTGCTCTTATTAATTCAACTTCCCCTCACTATAACAAGTACTATTATCCTCTCCATTTTAGAGATAAAAAAACCTACAGAAGAGATTTATACCATTATAAGAAAGTATTTCTAAGAATAATACCAAAGATAAAACCCAAAAAGAAGACATTTACGATCTTAAGAATATTTTGGGCCACAACAAAAATAAACCAACTGAATAAAATGAAAGGCAAGAAATGACAAGGAAAAGATCTGTGATACATGATGATGAAGACAAGGGGTTAATGTTCATAACATACAAAGAGCTGTTACAAAGCAACAAGAAGCTCCCTCACTTAAATGTGTGCAAAGGACAAAAGGGATCATTCACTTTTTAAAAGTCAGGTGGCTAATGAGTGAAAAATGCTCAATACCTCACTGGTCATCAAATGCAAACTAAAACAATGAAAAACCACTTTTGCTTATCATATTGGCAAATATTTTCAAAAGATATTCTAGCTAGTGTCCATTTGTGAGAGAACAAACTGTGAGTGACCTTTTTGGAGGATGACATGTCAATGGATATGTAAACTCTGAAAAACATGTGTATACACAGACTCAACTCCACTTCTAGGAATCGTTTCATTTAGAAAAAAAAAATCAGTTCAAAAAGATGTACTCGTCAAGGCATTTTCACAGCACTGTTTACAATGGTGGGAAGAAAAGCTGAAGTGAAATCATATCCAGCGACAGAGAATTGGTATCATAAGTAATTCCACATCTTTTCTTTTCCCACTGGAGAAGGAGTTTCTAGGGTCACTTGAAAGGAGCCTGTGATGAATGTAAATGTCACATCCAGAGACTAAATTTCCAGAAGCCTTAACTAAAGGAATACTCATACAAGATCACAGGAATGTTTGTACAAGAAGGATGCCAGTCAAACATCCTTTCTGACAGTGGTAAATGGAGAAAACTTTAGTGTCCACCATCAAGACAATGATGCGGTAAATCACGGTGAGCTGTGGGCTCTGAGGGGGCCAGTGTTTCATCACGGTCCAGGGCCTTGTCCACAGCACTCTCCCACCTAAGGTGTCCTTTCACAAGAGACCACACCTGCACATCAGGAGACCCCTCCACTTCATCTGAAAGGACCGGGTGAGTCTGGAGTGGCAGGACGTCTATGATATTCTCCTGAGTGAATAAAGTGAGCTGCAGAAAACTTATAGTATGGCCTTATTTTTCAACAAAGCATATATACACACACATATACATAGATTTCTCACATACGTGTATGTATCTATGTATGTATGTGTATATATATATATATATGTCATAGGCATAAACGTCATGAAATATATATACCACATTGTCAACAGCTTTTACTCTCAGGAAATAAGGGGAAGTGATGAAGGGGACTTCTGGTACCACCAGAGTTCTCTTTTCATTATTTCAGTAAAGTATACTTGGAATTTAAAAGTTTATTTAAGTTTGAAGTAAAATGGACGATGCCTCCACAAGACAGAATGCTATACTGGTCATTAAAAATCATGCCAGGGGAGATAGAATATTGTAGAAAAACATGTAATAAACCGAATGGAAAATGAAGGTCTCCACACAGAAAACATGCACAGAGTGCTCACTGGTTTTTATGACAGAGGTGATACACACTGACGAAAAGAACAGAAAATAGATGTTATAGTGTTAATTATTATCTCTGAGTAGTGGGACCAGGATAGCCTCTTTTGTCCCTTTTTTCAGACTTATTATAATAAATACACATTATTTTTCATCTGAAAAAAACATTTTTAGGTGTATAGTACCACACATTGTAGAAAATACACAAGTACTTACAGAAAAATAACTAGGAGAGACCGCAGCAGCGTCACACTATGTAGAACGGGCGATCCTGAATAACGCCTCGCAGTTACATAAGGACCCGCAAAGTGAGAGCACCTGCTGTAACAGGGCGTGGCCCCCTTCTATTTGTCAGTTGTGTCTTCAGGGCTGAGGCAGTTCTGAGCACGGCCAGTGTCAGTGCTGGTGTCTGGATGGATGCCACTGGAGGTGAGGGCACCTGCAAGCCGAGAGGAAGAACAGAAATCATCCTCTGCTTTTTCTGTCTTGTTTCTTTGTTACTTTAAAAGAGAGGCATAAATAAGATAAACTGAATCTTTCCTACTGAAATTTCAGTAATGAAACGTTTTTTAAAGTCTTCACAGCTTATATACTGCCTATAACTGTCTTTTCAACAAAGCATCATATTTATCAAATGTTAATTAACTCAGTTTATTAACTCCCTGTTGAAATCTTCTATTAAAGAACATGAAATGCACTACATAAAAGAACCACTCCTGTAGAGACTACCTTAGCTGTCTTGAAGACAGTGCAGTCAGTCCACACCATCCCGTGACCCTGAGCTCCTGATGCTGGTAAGAGAGCATGCTGCCA